TGTAATACTCAAAAGTATTTGAAAAATCCTGCTGCGAAGAGTAACATCCATCTGTTACATAAATTTTTCATAGTTTTAACAATGTTTGGTTTCGATCCACTGACTCAATAATATCATTGTAGAAAAACAAGCTACACCTAAACATCAGTTTGGCTTTAGACAACAACTCTCTACAATAGAACAAGTGCACAGAGTGTGCGAACAAATACGGAAATCCCTCGAGTCCAAAGAATACTGTTCGGTTTCCTTCCTGGACATCCAGCAGGCCTTAGACAAAGTCTGGCTTAAGGGGCCACTCTGTAAGATCAAAACAACATTAACTCACGGCTTCTACCTACTCATGCTGTCCTAACTGTCCAACCATATTTGCCAAGTTCGTGAAGACGGAGAAACATCGGCGTTCTACGACATAAAAGCGGGAGTTCCTCAAAAATCTGTGCTTGGACCAGTCCTGAATATCTGGAAGATGCGCAGTGTACAGCATCTTCCAGATGTTCAAAATATCACCACAGTCATTTTTGCTGATGATACTGCATTACTGGCAAGCAGCATTGATCCCGTTATGGCATCCAATACTTTGTAAGAAAGCCTCAACAAAGTGGCCATGACTGGCTGCAATAATGAATAATTAAAGCCAGCATGTCTGAGTCTGTACATATTACCTTCACGTTGAGGAAAGAAAACTGTCCTCCAGTGACACTGGGAAACAGTGTGCTTTCACAAAGCGAGTTAGTACGATATCTCGGCATGCATCTTGATAGGAGACTTACCTGGAAGAAGCACATAAAAACCAACAGGAACAAACTTAACATGCGGTACAACATGTTAAGTTTGTTAAGAAACATGTATTGGCTAATAGCTCGCAACTCAGTATTGTCAACGGATAATAAGCTACTCATATATAAGACCACCCTAAAGCCAGTATAGACTTATGGCATCCAACTCTGTGGGAGCGCTTGCAACACCAGTATAAAAATCATACAATGAGTGCAAAATGGCATTCTGCGACAGATAGTCAATGTACCATGGTTTCATGGTTTGTGATAAACAGCGAAATTCACGAGGCTCTCAACATGACAACGGTGAAGCAGGAAATTGCTTTGTAAGCAGGGAAATACAAGGATCGACTCCAAAAACACCCTAACAACCTAGCGGCTAACCCGGCACAAATCAGCGATTGCAATCGATTGGAGCGCTATGACATTCGAAACCTAGATACCAGGTTTCAAAATTGAAGAGGTAGTTCCTACTGAGGAGTATCCCCCGGACGACCAACACAATACAACACATCTGATGAACGTTGACTCGACTGATTGCAAAATGGCATACAAAAAAAATATCATTACCTTTAAAATTTATTATGTTCAAATTTCTTTAATTATAATAACCACTTGCATTCAAACTCGCGTTCAAAACTGTAAATCGGCCCATGATCACATACGGCGCTCTGGTATGGTGGACCAAGACAAATGAAGCCACCACAATTAAGAAGCTTCAGCGCTACCAGAGACTGGCATGTATGGCTGCCACAGGCTGGATAAGAACTACGCCAACAGCAGCCTTGGAAGCGATGCTGGAGCTAACTCCGCTTCATCTACATATACAACAAGAAGCGACTTTAGCTGCCATCAGACTCAAGACCCTAAATCTTTGGAGTGAGAATAGTGTCCCTCATACAGGCATAATTGATAGAATTCACTCAGAAATTCCTATCCTACAAGCCAAATACGATAGGATTCCTAAACAATTTGTTTTCGATAAGAAATACAAGATACAATTAAATGAAAACAGCCAGCCGGAAGGATTAAGCCCAAAAGAGCTTAGAGTTTTCACCGATGGTTCTAAAACAAATGAAGGTGTAGGTTCTGGAGCTTTCGCTGAAGACCTCAATATTCACATATGCACACCGCTGGGTACCTATAACACGGTCTTTCAGGCAGAATGTATGGGTATCATTCAAGCGGCATTCATAGCAATAGATGCTAGGAAGGTTAATGACTTCCCCATCAGAATACTGACTGACAGTAGGGCGGTACTACAAGCTCTGAGTTGCAATGGGGTGAACTCGGGACTAATATATAAATGCCATCAACGATTAAATGAGGTATGTAAAAACAAAAATGTGACTCTGCAATGATAAAGAGACACAGTGGATCCAGAGGCAACGATGCAGCGGACGAACTGGCCAGAAGAGGATCGGCTCTGGCCACTATAGGGCCGGAACCAATCATACCAATCCCCTTTGGTAACGTTCGTTCACTGGTACGTAGACACTTCACTAATCAACACGCTCAGCTTTGGAAAAATCTAGTAGACTGTAGACAAGCTAGGGAGGCCCTACCTGTAATAAACAGTCGCTTAACCAAAGTTTTAATGAGACTGAACAAGCCGCAGATCAGGATAGTAACAAGTGCTATCACAGGACACGGCACCTTTAACAAACATTTATCTACTATAGGTGTTACAGATAGTCCCCTGTACAGGGCATGTATGGGGGAGGAAGAAACGGCGGCCCACCTGCTACCGAAATGTCCGGAGGTCGCTACGTACAGGGCTAAACATCTCGGCACGCCGGGATCACTCCCCAAAGTTGCATGCAACATCAAGGGACTGTTGAGCTTCTTCGGGGAGATCTCATGGCTCGAATAATCACATTATTCCTGCCCACACGCAAAATACGCGCATAGACGTGGAGTTGCGGAAAACAGCCCGTCGCAAACTAACTAACTAACTAACCACTCGCATAAGCAAAATAAATTTTAGTATAAATATTTTCATTACTATATTGATGATTATCCTTCTCTTACAATAATTTTAATTTATTTAATATAGAAACCAACTGACTGGTTTTGCCTTACACCCTCATCAGGGTATGCCAGTTAGAAGAACTTTTCATGAATAAGCGTCAATACAATAGTCATGGAATTTGACAACTGACGACAATCGCAAGCATATGAACGCATATAAACTCTTTATAATCACAAAGATGTAACAATATTTTTAAATGTTACACCTACAGTTTGATTTTTTTTCTGTATTAGTGGAGGTGTTTTCATTAGATAAGTTGTCCTCCAATTAAGTCCTAACTCAGAATTTTTTTTTAAATTGATGAAAATCATTTCTTTGAATTGAACAAAGATCTTCTGCAATTTATGACTATATTTTTTCACAGTAATTAATAAAATATCAGATTATCAGACAAACCTTTAAATTTTAGACATCCAAGAAGATTCCTTTAGGCTTCCAAAAGCTGCATGAAATATTTACTAAAATATTTTAAAAAGTCTTAGTTTTTGGGAAAAACATATGATTGCCAAAGCATACAAAAAATTTATTTATGTATTAATGGGATGGGTTAGTATCGAACAAAAGTAAGAGGCTGGATGGACAGAAGCAAGATATAAATATAGATAAAGAGTTTTTCCACTGTTTGATTTTGGCCAAAAATCATACTACTGACTGAGATCTAAATCAAAACTTACTTTCCATACATTCACAGCTACTAAGTAGTGATTTCTTACTTGTATATTTAAGCCAATACTAAAAATTGAATAAAACTATTTGTTATTACATTTAGTTTTACTTATTTTTAATTCCTGATGTTTTTGTTATGAGGGGGACTGAGGCGACTGACATGTCAATGTTCACCTGTAGTACCTTCAACTTTTTAATTATAATTTTTGGTCTGATCTATGCAGAATGAGCTTCCTGTACCTTGAAATAAGTAAAGTTAAAAAAGATAAAATCTGTAACATGTGGCAAAATAATTTTTTTTAACAACCAACTACAATACAACTGATTCAATGTATTTGAAGTCAATTGAATATGTATTATTTAAGGATAACTCAAAAATGACCGGTCAGATCTTGGTCAAATTTATATGGGATTACATGAGAAGCACCAGCTTTTAAATAAAAAAGGAATTTGTTCTGAGGTAACACACATAAAAAAAACTTACAGTCAAATTGAATACCTCCTCCTTTTTGAAGTCGGTAAAAATAGTTTTATTCAAAGCTATTAAGTAACTCAGACAAAATAATGACTACTGAATATCAACTCTTAAAATGATGCAAGTATTTCTTAATTGTTTAAACATTGACTTGCAATATGTTACTTATACTTGTGAAGAATAAATGAAAAGACTGGTATCATAAAAATGTCAATTAGTATAGATTTCTTTTGAGGTTCTATGGTTTAACAAACAAATAAAATTGTTGACGGAATCCTTTTTGGCATCACATCACTCACTTTTGCCGAGACTTATTTTTAATTATGTATACTATCTTGTACCTTGTGTGTTTTTATGTTTTTATTTACTTTTAAATGTATATTTCGTAAGTGTATTGATGCTAATAAAACCTATGTCAATGTTGCGAGAGCGGAGCAAGCGAAGCAAGTGGAGCTCCCATGGCGCAAGAAAACAATTCTTTGATATCTATCTCCTCCGTACAGTTAAAGTCGATAGTATCTCAAGCCACACTAGCAGATTAAAAAAAAATATATTTTTATCACCATCGAAGCACTTGTAATATGATTTCCACTAACAGTTCATATGTGCAGACATATAATTTACAAAATTACACCACTTTTTCATACCAAAATACACTTCAAACCATTGTTAAAACAATAATGCAGAAGTAACAGCTGTTCCCACCAAAACTTTTACAACACCTAGCTTTATATAAAAAAAATTCTATCCAAAATCCCAGAAAATATGCATGAACTATTTATCAAAAGGAACTCCAAATCAAAAATTGTTTAATATACTTTTAAAGAGTACATTTCAATAATCTTGAAATGAGGTAAGCGCTATCATTCTGCTTTTAAACAACATATTTTAAGGTAAACTAATATTTTAAAACATTCTGTTGGGTTTTTTACTAGTCCTCACAGGACAAAGGTTTTTTCGGGACCAGTGGTAAAAGCATATAACCTTTTAGTGAGTGTTTTGTAGTTCTATTCTATTCTATTGTGTTAGCATTAAAATATTTTTGACATACCTCTGTTTGGTCGAACTCTTCAAGCTGTCTATCGTTCAGTTGTTTTTCATAAAAAGCGCGTGCTAGTGCACTTCTAGGACGATATAATCCGTTTGAAGCCATTACTTCATTCTTAAGATTATTTAGACTCTGTCTTCTATTTTGGGGCAAATGAAGGGGGCTAACCTCTTGACATGCCTTGGTGAGATAACAGTAGAAATCAACTTTATCACTATTTTGATCAGACGTATACAATATATTAACTTGATAAGTCAATGGCACGTAAATAAGAATAAGGAAAAAATATATCATTAAATGCTATGTAATTTGTAAATAAGCACTCTAAGATAACCTCCAAAACATTCTATATATTTTTAACATATGCATATTGTATCGCGAATTCAGGTGTTTATAAACCATTTAAAAATGGTTTTAGCTTGTTAGCATATCATTTTCAAAAATCAAATTGGACAAATTCAGTCAAATCATAAACATTTGTTGTGATACGTCAATGTCAAAAACGTTGTTTGATGTATACGAAAGAGGGCGTGGTATACAAGTTCAAAGTAGGTTCACGCGTTTGCAAAGAATGTTAGACTTACTCTATAATCTTTACAAAATATTATTCATTACTGTAATTATATTATATTATATTATAGGTATGAATTATGAATGAAAAAGTATTGATAATTAAACTTCATATACGTGTTATTTATATTCAAAAATGAAAATTAAAGAATTGTCACGAACTACGATAAAAAGCACAGTAAAAAAATAATGACGTTAGTTTCACTGGTACCTAAGTCAAAAATATTACAATGGACTTGCATAAATTAATTTGCCATTTTTTCCGAATTGTCTCATGTTCGGCAAAGATGAAGCTACGCCACGCGTGCTGTACGGCAATGCAACATAACTTTGCAGCTACGTGAATTTTTTGCATTACTGCGCTAGTATAACGCGGCCAAACGGGCGCCATGAGGTGTAGCAGACCTTAAGAAAAGATATAATTATAGCAACTAGTGATCGCCTAGTGGTCGAAATTCAACCGTAATTTATTAAATTTTTAGGTTTGTATATTATTGCAAGCTGTATTAAGCTTTTCATTACACAATTAACTTTTTTTTATAGGAGAGGGGCAAACAGATATACGGCTCACCTGATGGTAAGTGATTACTGCCGCCCATGAAAAACTGCAGACGCGTTGCCGGCCTTTTAAAAAGGAGTAGGCTCTTTTCTTGAAGGTTCCTAAGTCGTATCGGTCCGGATAAATATCTGGGGGTAGTCGATTCCACAAGGAAGTTGTACGTGGAAGACAACTTCTTTTGTACCGCACAGTGGTTGCACCGCGTCTACATGGTAGGATAGTGTCGCGAGTTTGTCGCGATGTGCGATGGTAAAATTGTGCGGCTGGAATTAGTCCGAACAATTCCTCAGAGCACACTCCGTAAATGCGATAAATACGCAAAGAGATGCACCATCTTTCCGCAGTGCCAGTGAGTCAAGCCGATCAGAAAGAGCTCGGTCGTCAATAAATTGAACAATTCTGCGCTCGATGCGATCAAATAGAAGGAGATGGCACTGAAGAGTGCCAGCCCAGAGATGGGAACAGTATTCCATGTGCGGCCTAACCTGCGCCTTGTTGAGGACCACGCCAAGCTTTTTAGAGGCCAATTTGGCCTTCTCTTCCAAGTGGCCACGAAACTGCACGTCACACGATATGTCGACGTTGAGGATTCCGATTAATGTAACCGGTGTGCAACATATCATTGATACACCGAAGAAACAGCGTTGGTGATAGCACGCAGCTTTGTGGAACAACAGCGTTAATTAGCTTGTAATTTCATTAAGGTCGTAGTAGACGGTGCATGGAACATGGAGCTCCGATCTGTAAGAAAACTGGTGATCCAATTGCACAGTTTCTCAGAAAGCCCATGGGAAGAAAGGTTCGTAAGAAGCGCTTTGTGCTAAACCAGATCGAAGGTCTTTACTATGTCCAAACTAATGGCCAATGCTTCCCCCTTGGATTCTACTGCCTCCACCCATTTATGTGTTAGGTAACCAAAAAGATAATAGTCTATTTTACTCTAACAAAATCGTTTTGACCTCAAATTTAAAAATTTTAATTACTTAACAGCCTACACTACCTCAGCTGAAATTCTAATTTCACCCCCACTTCCCCGCGTCACTCGTTTGAACACTACGGCTTGCGGTCACGTGGGAACATGAGGTCAAAGTGATTTTGTTAAATAAACTTGATTGAGTAAAATAAACTTGACGGAGCGTTGACTTCATTAGACGAGACCTCTCCAACTTAACGTTTAGGTTTAGTGTGCCTCTAACCATTCGGTGATCACTGCCAGTTTTCACCCTTGCGGTCACTGAGACATCACTGAACAGTTGGCGTCTGGTCGTCATAATGAAGTCAATCTCATTTTTTGTCGAAACGTCGGGTCTCGACCAGGTCTACTTCCTGTGGGGCCGCTTCTGGAAGAAAGAGTTCATCATAAAGAGTCCCTCTTTCTCCATAAAGTCGGCCAGTTGCTGGCCCCAACGGTTCCGTTGTCCTACTCCAAATTTCACTAACTTCAGCTCAGCGCTTTCTCTAGTGCCTAGTTTTGCGTTGAAGTCTCCCATCAACACCGTGTAGTGGGTTTTGGAGGAATGCATGGCTCTAGAAATATCCTCATACATTTCCTCCACCTCCTCATCGGAATGTGCCGAGGTTGGTGCGTAAACCTGTATGACCTTCAGCGAATTCCGTTTGGTGATTCTGAGTATCAGGTACGCGACTCTCGTCGACACACTCCCAATCTTTACAACGTTGTTGGCGAGAGACTTGTGGACTATAAATCCGACACTTCCTTGGGACAGATGGTCGCCCTCCCGGTGGTAGAACAAGTTGCCGGGCTCGATGATTACCGTGTCCTCCCCTCTCTTCGGACCTCGGATAATCCAATAATATGCCAGCGCAACTTGTCTACCTCTTATTCCAGCTCCAGTATCTTCTCGTCAGTCCTCAGGGTGCGTGCGTTATATGTTGCCAGGTCGAGTCGTCGTAGGTGGCAACCGAACCTCCACCGAAGATTCTTAGCACCCCCTGCCCCACCGCTACCATGGTTGCCACCGTAGCCAGGAATAGCGGGGCCGCCGGGGACTGGGGGCCGTTTGTTTGCGTCGTTATTCATGGGGGGATATTTGCCATAGTTGCCACGCCTGGCGAGCGGGTTGGCAACCGCAGTTTTTTTTTATTATAACATTGTTGTTACTAGAAAGATGCTGCTGCCCGTGTCCTGCCTGTCTCCCTGTGTTGCCTCTTACAACACCCACGGGAAGATATGAGGTAGTGGAAATTCTCAACCGCCACTACACGGCCACATATATATATATATATATATATATATATATATATATATATATATATATATATATAGACAGGCAGGAGATGGGCAGCAGCATCTTCCTAGTAACAACAATGTTATAATAAAAAAAACTGCGGTTGCCAACCCGCTCGCCAGGCGTGGCAACTACGGCAAATATCCCCCCATGAATAACGACGCAAACAAACGGCCCCCAGTCCCCGGCGGCCCCGCTATTCCTGGCTACGGTGGCAACCATGGTAGCGGTGGGGCAGGGGGTGCTAAGAATCTTCGGTGGAGGTTCGGTTGCCACCTACGACGACTCGACCTGGCAACATATAACGCACGCACCCTGAGGACTGACGAGAAGATACTGGAGCTGGAATAAGAGGTAGACAAGTTGCGCTGGCATATTATTGGATTATCCGAGGTCCGAAGAGAGGGGGAGGACACGGTAATCCTCGAGTCCGGCAACTTGTTCTACCACCGGGAGGGCGACCATCTGTCCCAAGGAAGTGTCGGATTTATAGTCCACAAGTCTCTCGCCAACAACGTTGTAAAGATTGGGAGTGTGTCGACGAGGGTCGCGTACCTGATACTCAGAATCACCAAACGGAATTCGCTGAAAGTCATACAGGTTTACGCGCCAACCTCGGCACATTCCGATGAGGAGGTGGAGGAAATGTATGAGGATATTTCTAGAGCAATGCATTCCTCCAAAACCCACTACACGGTGTTGATGGGAGACTTCAACGCAAAACTAGGCACTAGAGAAAGCGCTGAGCTGAAGTTAGGGAAATTTGGAGTAGGACAACGGAACCGTTGGGGCCAGCAGCTGGCCGACTTTACGGAGAAAGAGGGACTCTTTATGATGAACTCTTTCTTCCAGAAGCGGCCCCACAGCAAGTAGACCTGGTCGAGACCCGACGATTCGACAAAAAATGAGATTGACTTCATTATGACGACCAGACGCCAACTGTTCAGTGATGTCTCAGTGACCGCAAGGGTGAAAACTGGCAGTGATCACCGAATGGTTAGAGGAACACTAAACCTAAGCGTTAAGGTGGAGAGGTCTCGTCTAATGAAGTCAACGCTCCGTCCCCCTCGTGCTCTGATCCAGAATCTCGAAACTTTTCAGCTCGAGCTACGTAACCGCTTTCAGTGCCTAGAAGATTGCAATGCAGTGGACGATATGAATGACAGCTTCGTGAAAACTGTCCATGCGGTCAGAGCTAAGTTCTGCAAGACCCGCCGCAGAAGAACACAAAAACTCTCCGATCACACTCTTGATCTCATGGCTGTTAGACGGGAGATGAGGCTGCAATTGTCAACAGATTTGACAGCATACAGGCAACTGAACAGACAGAGCTCCAAATGCTTGCAGCGAGACCTACGCAACTTTAATACTGCTCGTATTGAAGAAGCGATCGAGCGGAATCAGGGCTCCAAAGTCTTTGCCAGAGATCTGTCTGCCAGTAAGAGCCAACTGTCAAAGCTGAAGACTGAGTGTGGCATCATCGTTTCCGGGACACCTGAGATCCTGAGTGAGATTGAGAAGTTCTATGGGCAGCTGTATACATCATCGTTGGGGCCACACGCAAGTGTGAGTAACGATCCAAGAGCAAGTCTTATCTGACACTATTCCGATGATATCCCGGACATCAGTCTGAGTGAGATTAGAATGGCTCTCCAGCACCTTAAAAACGGCAAGTCCCCGGGCGAGGATGGAATTACAGTGGAGCTTCTGAAAGCGGGTGAAAAACC